GTCTCATAAAACGTATGACTGACACGAATACTAAGTGACAACTTAAATACGTCAAAAGAACCTTCTAAGCATCTTCTGAAGAAAGAAAAAAAATGGAAAAACACGCCCTTGTATCTCCTCCATCATCTTTTCCAAAACAACTATTCCATTATATTTTTTTTTGTGCCTTCTGTTGCCACCAATGTCATGTAATTTAAAGCCCCGTTGTCATAACAACGCCAAGAGGAAGGAATGGCATATTGCTCTCTCCTGCTTTCAACAATCCGCCATCCTATGTGATACTTCAAATGAAAAGCAGATAAAGAAGATATTATTATTCATTTTTTGAAAAAAAAATTCATCAGCATAAAAAAGGAATTCTGGATATTGCATTTTCCTTACAATTAAATATCTCAAAAGCGAAAAGAGATCATTTTTTTTTACCACACTTCGATAGATTTAATGTTTAACCTCAGAAGATTTATGAAAAGGAAAAATTTATTCCGTTCGTGTTTTTATCTTAATTAATGATAATGATGAATATTAAGCGGAAAAGATTTAGAAGTTAGATAAAAAGACAAATTATTATCAGCTTCTTCTATCAAAGAAATATTTTTTAGCAGGTGGTATAAAATATTAGATAAAAAACATTAAGAAAACCATATTTATAATAAACCACTTTTTCAAAAAATAACTGACAGTAAAATATTTTTTTCTTAAAAGTTATAAAGGCATCATGAATTATTAATTAACTTTAACAAGCAATAAAATAAGTCCGTCCATTTGAAATGCAACGAGAAACATTAACATATGTGTATATTTCCGAAATCAATAGAATCCCATTTCCTTACGTTTATATTTATTAAAGTAGGTTTCAATTTCTAAGAAACCTACTTTAATAAATATAAACGTGACTGATTAAAAAATGATTAATTGTAACCATACATTACAATTAATCATTTTTTTTCAAAAGTACTTATCAGTCAAATTTTTTCCCATAAAATTTATATAGGCATCATGAATTAGTAATTAACTTTAAAAAGCAATAAAACAATACCATCGCAGATGCAACGAAAAACAACAACTCATAAATAAAAGTTCACTATTTGCTGTCTGATTTAAAAATCAAAACACGAAACAAGTCTGATAAAACGTATGACAGACACGAATACTAAGTGACAACTTAAATACATCAAAAGAACCTTCTAAGCATCTTCTGAAGAAAGAAAAAAAATGGAAAACACGCCCTTGTATCTCCTCCATCTTTTTCCAAAACAACTATTCCATTATGTTTTTTTCCTTGCCTTCTGTTGCCACCAATGTCATCTAATTTAAAGCCGCGTTGTCATAACAACGAAAAGAGGAAGGAATTTGGCATATTGCTCTCTCCTGCTTTCAACAATCCGCCATCCTATGTGATACTTCAAATGAAAAGGAGATAAAGAAGATATTATTATTCATTTTTTGAAGAAAAAAATATTCATCAGCATAAAAAAGAAATTCTGGATATTGCATTTTCCTTACAATTAAAGATCTCAAAAGCGTAAAAGATATAATTTTTTTTTTACCACGCTTCGATAGATTTAATGTTTAACCTCAGAAGATTTATGAAAAGGAAAAATTTATTCCGTTCGTGTTTTTATATTTAATTAATCATAATGAGGAATATTAAGTGGAAAAATTTGGAAGTTAGATGAAAAGACAAATTGTTATCTGCTTCTTCTATTAAGGAAATGTTATTTAGCAGGTGGTATAAAATATTAGATAAAAAACATTAAGAAAATTATATTTATAATGAACCATTTTTTCAAAAAAAAACCTGGCAGTCAAATACTATTTTCTTAACATTTATATAGGCATCATGAATTAGTAATTAACTTGAACAAGCAATAAAATAGGACCGTCCATTTCAAATGCAACAAGAAACATCAACATGTGTGTATACTACTAAAATAAATAAAATCACATTTCCTTACGTTTAATTTTATTAAAGTAAGTTTCTATTTCTAGAAAAACCCTACTTTATAATGAACCATTTGTTCAAAAAATAACTGACAGTCAAATTTTTCTCTTTAAAACAGATAGTCATCATGAATTAGTAATTAACTTTAACAAGCAATAAAGCAGTACCATCTCAGATGCAACGAAAAACATCAACTCATAAAATAAAAGTTCACTATTTGAGCCTGATTTAAAAATCAAAACACGAAACAAGTCTGATAAAACGTATGACTGACACGAATACTAAGTGACAACTTAAATACGTCAAAAGAATCTTCTTAGCATCTTCTGAAGAAAGAAAAAAATGGAAAAACACGCCCTTGTATCTCCTCCCTTCTCCATCTTTTTCCAAAACAACTATTCCATTATATTTTTTTCCCTTGCCTTCTGTTGCCACCAATGTCATGTAATTTAAAACCCCGTTGTCATAACAACGCCAAGAGGAAAGAATTTGGCATATTGCTCTCTCTTGCTTTCAACAATCCGCCATCCTATGTGATACTTCAAATGCAAAGCAGATAAAGAAGATATTATTATTCATTTTTTTGAAAAAAAAATTCATCAGCATAAAAAAGGAATTCTGGATATTGCGTTTTCCTTACAATTAAAGATCTCAAAAGCGAAAAGAGATAATTTTTTTTTTACCACACTTCGATAGATTTAATGTTTAACCTTAGAAGAATTATAAAAAGGAAAAATTTATTCCGTTCGTGTTTTTTTATCTTAATTAATGATAATGATGAATATTAAGTGGAAAAGATTTGGAAGTTAGATGAAAAGACAAATTGTTATCAACTTCTTCTATCAAGGGAATATTTTTTGCAGGTGATATAAAATATTTGATCTTCAAAAAAAATATCTGGAATAACATACTATACGAATTTTTACAAATTTTTGGAAAAAAGTCCTTATTTTTAAATAGGAACTACTTTAATTACTTGATTTTAGTTATTTTTTTACATTTCAAACGTTATATGGTGTTATAATTAAGTATCTACTAAATCTTAGTATTATATTATTAAAAAACCTTACATTACATAAATGTACATTATATAATAATAATATCATATAAATATATATTAATTCATACTCTAATTGCCTTTTTCAATTCCTACTGTTAGTTCACACTCGCTATATATATCTTGTTCAACTTTTTAATCGTTAATAAAATACTTTTTATTACTCCAGTCAAGTACAATTATATTTTTTGAACTTGTAACGGATGATACTTAATGTTAATACAGTTTTATTCCAAAATAATCCATTAATTAAATTTAATTAATTAATTTTACTTTTTTTTAGATTTAAGTTGCATATATCTACTAATAGATGGCGCCAGATGTAAGAGAAAAATTTCAACTTTATTTGTAATGGAGTTTCTGCAATATAGTGAAAAAAAATTAGGAATTGACTTTTAAAAATAATTTTTTATATTACTTGTTTTTATACAAGAACTACTTTAATTAATTCATTTCAGTTATTTTTTTTATATTTAAAAAGTTATACAGGGATATAATTAAGTTTCTACTCAAACTCGGCATTATATTATTAGAAAAAACCTTATATTATATAAATGTATATATTTCTATAAATACATATTAATTCATACTCTAATTGCCTTTTTTCACAGATGTTTTATATGAATGCTGCCAATATCATGTAATTTAAAGCCCCGTTGTCATAGCAACGCCAAGAGGAAGAATTTGCCATATTACTCTCTTGCGTTCAACAATCAGCCATCTTATGTGATACTTCAAACGCAAAAGGAGATAAAGAAGATATTATTAATCATTTTTTGAAGAAAAAAATTCATCAGCATAAAAAAGGAATTCTGGATATTGCATTTTCCTTACAATTAAAGATCTCAAAGCGAAAAGGGGTAATTTTTTTTAACTCTGACATTTTATTTTTACCACACTTCGATAGCTTTAATGTTTAACCTCAGAAGATTTATGAAAAGGAAAAATTTATTCCGTTCGTGTTTTTATCTTAATTAATGATAATGATGAATAATAAGTGGTAAAGATTTGGAAGTTAGATGAAAAGACAAATTGTTATCTGCTTCTTCTATCAAAGAAATATTTTTTATCAGGTGATATAAAATATTAGATGGTAAAAAAAATATTTGCAGTAATACATTATAAGAATTTTTACAATTTTTTTGAAAAAAGGTCCTTATTTTTGAACATGAACTACTTTAGTTAATTCATTTCATGTATCTTTTTTTTTTATATATAAAAGTTATATGGGGATATAATTAAGTATCTAGTAAATCTTAGTATTATAATATATTATGTATATATATAATAAATGTATGTATTTCTATGAACATATATTAATTTATACTCTAATTGCCTTTTTTTCATGGATATTTTGTATGAAATATAATGTTTCTTATTTTTTCCTACTTTTTTTTAATTAATTTCTTTTAATCTCAAATTATGAATAGTAATATTTTCTGAAATTAGTAAAAAATAAGAATTTTTTGATATTTGCTTTTCAAAAAATTTAATAAGAAAAAACATGAAATTTAAATAGTATTTTTAATTATATATTGTGTCATTTATATGTCCCATTAAAATAAGTGATTTATTTTTAATTCTCTGCAAAAAGATATAATTAATAACAGTAATGAAAAGATTCTTATAATAGTTTTGATTAAGTAGTATAATTACACTTTCTTATTTACTAATAACTATAAAAACTACTTTTACACAAGTTTTTTTTTTTTTTTTTTTTTTTTTTTTGAAGACCGAAAAAGACAAATATTAATTTTATTAACGTTTTTTATAATAATAATTTTCTTTAATTCAGAGGGGTTTTTTTTGTTTTTGTTGTTGATAGTTTAGTTAACTCTCAAATATTCTCTTTTGAAAAATCAGAAGCAGAGAAAAAAATGCATTCTATAAAAACATGCTTTAATGTTGCGTGAAAAAAAATCATTTGTCAAAGTATGCTTGAATTAATTTTTTAGGTGCATAATATGGTATTGTTTAGTAACATATATTTATATATATATATCCGAAGTTAAGCATCATTGGGCGCGGTCAGTACTTGGGTGGGTGACCACCTGGGAACACTGCGTGCCGTTGGCAAATTTGGGACCTGAATGGCCGAGTGTCTGGCGCTCGGTGCCACAGGTTTCGGGTTCGAATCCCGGCGGTGCCATGGATGTTTGTAGTGGTTCGGAATCCACTTTAAGCCGTAGGTCCCGGTCTCCCATGACTGTAAGAGCGTCACGGAGCAAAAGTCAGGCTTCTACCTACGGGTGCTCCATCACAACAGAAGCTGCTTCCTTACCCTTCAATCATGAGTCCATATGGGCTCGTGGGCTTGGCCAGCCAAGTGGGATAAGAAACAACAACAACAACAACAACATATATATATATATATATATATATACATGACTAATAACATATTTTTAAGCACTGAAATACAAAGCATGAGTAGCAAATAATTTTTAATATTTAAATATAGATTTTGAATATTCATTAGTGCAATGTAATATTTTTAATAATAAGTTTAGAGAAATACATAAGTATTTGCCGTCATTCAAAATTTTGAATAACAAATGTTTTAAAATTGCTTCTGTTATCAACATATTTTACATTTATGTCATGTATTGATTTTTGTGTTTATATATCATTAAAAAAATTTAAGAATTTCAACAATGATATCCCAGAATGAACAAATATATTTAATTGAATAAATTTTAAATAGCTGATTATATTGATTATGGATAAATAGTAAGAATAATAAACAACACGCATTATTTTACACAATATTAAATGTATATTAAATACTATTTAATATTTATAGTTCTCAAAATATTTTACACAAATTCAACCATTTCACTAAAAACAAGTAACTGTTTTTTAACCATTTATAGTTTTCTTTTCCCTTTCATTTTCTGCATAAACTACAAAATGACTCAATTACGATATTAATTTTGTTACGTGCCATTCAGATTTTCTTTTTTGACCAGGAGTTGTTTATTAACTTTATTATAAATACAGTCTGTTCGCCCTCATCAATCAATATTGGAGGAAGGTTGCATGAAAATGGAATTACGTTAACTTAATCTAATGCATGTTATTCTTCAAGCTTCATTATTCCATGTTTTCATGTCACGGAAAATTTTATCACATTCCTTTTCACTTAACACTGATGAGAAATAATTATGATTTTTTTTTATTCCATGTATATATATATTGGTCTTTCAAGAATAAACAATTGATACCGAGTTTTTTATTCCCTGTAAAAATATTTTCCTTTTTCCTATTTTAAAATTTATTGGTTGTTGTATAGTGTGAAGGAAAATATTATCTTCAATATAATTTTGATAAATGGTATGTTTTTTTTCAAAATATTACTTTTAAATTATAATAAAAAAATTTAAATTTCTACATCAGTACATTTTTATATTGATTTAGCCTTGTGTAACGTCTATACTAGACCTATAACGGCTTCAAGAAGAGGACCACTTTCAGGTTCATGGGTACACTTTAATACTTTAATTTTTATTTACTCCAGCCTGTTCATTCACTTCACAGGAAAAGAAAATAATAACACTTATTGCCGACTGGCCACAGAACATCCTTTCATCTTCTCCAAAAACATTCCTTTAAAAAATCCATCAAGAGGGGATTGTAACTTCCCTCACTTCATATTGGAGTAGACATTTTCTCAGCCCATGATCTATCATCAATCATGATATAACAACTCATGATGTAAACCATATCTCATCAGTAATTGTTGCGACCTGTGTAGGTCGAACAAACAATCGTCAAAAGGTCTCATTATATATTACACTGATTATCTGCTTATCAGATTTGAGTAACATGTTTTACAAACATATTATATATTAAGATATTGATAAATTATAATACATTGTAAAAATCTATAAATCAGTTTTAAAACTTATAGTAAACATAAATTATTCAATAAAATTTAAATCACTTTTAATACAAAATTTTTATACATCACTTATATTTTGATTTAAAAAAATAATTATTATTTACAATTAAAACTTCGACCAACATTTTAATGCATATTTCAAATAAATTTAATGTTACTTAAAGACTTTTCCATTTTTAAAGAATATTCATTGCAACCATTATTTACTTTAAAAATATCTTTTTTAACATATTGAAAATTCAATAATCATCAATTCACTACCTTTGATAATAATAATAAATATTTGCATGATAAAACACATTTTTTTTCTGCGTAATTTTAAGAGTTCCTTTTAAATTATTTAAACCTTAACGATAATATATCTACTTTTTAATCTCTAATTTGCAGAAAATCGATTATTTGTAAAAAAAAATTAACTCTTTTCAAAGCATTCTAAAAGGTGCTTTAGATTTTTGTCTCCATTCTTTCTATGATGCACATAGAAACTAAATGAATCTTTTAAAAAGATGTAGCAGAAAAAAAACCAACTCGTTGTTAGATCCGATTTAAAGCAAACGGGCTTTATCGATTTGGCAATTACTAAAAACTTAAATAACATCCGCTTTAAAATGCTTAATCGTTTCCTTAATCGTCATTAGCGAAGGATGAAAAATGCTGAAGCATTTTGCGTTGCCATTCTGCCTCACCATTAAATGGCAGAATTTCCTTTGCGCCAAACGAGAATTAAAAGAATTTTTGTTTTGATTTTGGCGATAAGGAAAACGCAACGAATTTCAATTTAACATTTCTCGTTTTAAATGGTTGGTATTAAAATGCTGCCTGCCTTCATTTTAGCTTTTAACTGATTTGCTTCGAATATGTCAGTTTTCTGAATGCACAAGAAATTTGTAAATGCATTTATATCGGAAAACATTTTAAATATTTCTTTGATATCATTAGACTGGTGAAAAAAAAAACCTGCAATGAATTACTTATGCAGTAATGGCTTTTGGTATTCCATTTCACTTGAATTAATGGATTATTGTGAATTTAAATAATTTTGAATTCGATTAAATGATTGCGATGGAATTTTGTGCATAATTCAAGTACAATAATCGACAATAAATTTCTTTTAGCTTAAATTATATGCAATTTTAATGAAGGTTAGTTTAACTTGGGATGGTTTTTTCAGATTTTATATGAATAATCTAATTATGCTCTCTTACTATTCTCCTACTTATTATTCTACTCCACCTAATATATTGTTTTAAGAGTGTATTAATGTGTTGTTATTAAATACCGGTTATTTAAGATTATTAATTTTTTTCATTTATTTAGAAATGGCAATTGATGCATTGAGGTTTAAAAATTACATAGGATTTGACAGGGAACGAATCCAGTGAATCAATAATTCAGCGAATCATTTCCTAGTTCAAAATTACTCAATAAAAAGCAAAAAAACTAAAAGTTAACTGAAGACTAAAACTAATAAGTATTTGAATTAGATTACAAAGCAATTGCATTGTTAGAATAACAATATTCATTGGAATGGGATGTACGGTAAAAATTTATAATTTTAATAAATGTTTGCAAAAAATTGCTTATATCTTTAAAGTTAATGAAAATCTGAGCCTTTTTGTGTTTTGCCTCACCATTAAATGGCAGAATTTCCTTTCTCCAAACGAGAATTAAAAGAATTTTTGTTTTGATTTTGGCGATAAGGAAAACGCAACAAATTTCAATTTAACATTTCTCGCTTTAAATGGTTGGTATTAAAATGCTGTCTCCTTCATTTTACCTTTTAACTGATTTGCTTTGAATATGTCAATTTTCTGAATGTACAAGGAATTGTAAATGTATTTATATCGAAAAACATTTTAAATATTTCTCTGATATCATTAGACTGTTAGAAAATAGAAACTGCACTGAATTACTTATGCAGTAATGGTTTTTGGTATTCCATTTCACTCAAATTAATGGATTTGGATAATATTGTGAATTTAAATAATTTTGAATTCGATTAAATGATTGCGATGGAATTTTGTGCATAATTCAAGTACAATAATCGACAATAAATTTCTTTTAACTTAAATTATATGCATTTTAAATGAAAGTTAGTTGAACTTTTAATGTTTTTTTCAGAAGATTTCATATGAATAAGCTAATTATACCCCCTTAATATTTCCTTATTTATTACTCTACTCTACCTAATATATTGTTTTAAGAGTACATATTAATATGTTGTTATTAAATTCAGGTTATTTAGGATTATTAACTTTATTCATTCATTTAGAAATAACAATTGATGCATTGAGGTTTGAAAATTACAAAGGATTTGACAGAGAACGAATTAAGTAAATTACTAATTCAGCAAATCACTTCCTGGTACAAAATTACTCGGTAAAAAGCAAAACACTAAAACAATGTTAACTGAAACTAATAAGTATTTGACTTAGGTTACAAAGGTACAAAATTACTTATTAAAAAGCAAAAAACTAAAAGAATGTTAACCGAAGACTGAAATTAATAGGGATTTGATTTGGGTTACAAAGCATAAAGACTTTTTGAATATATTCATTAGAATGTGGTGCACAAAGTGTGGTAGAAATTTATATTTTCATTAAAAAATTTTTCAAAAAAATTTTTGATATTTTTAAAAGTTAATGAAAATTTCATTGAAATTGAATTTAAAGTCATAGTTTTATGTCCTAATTTTATTAAATCAAGTACTTCATTAAAACTTTACATATTTTAAAAATTGCTTCGAAGTTTGGTTCATATATTAATAAATTTTCACACAAATCATCAATTTCTGTTTGTTTTTTCTGTTTCATTGACATAGCAGATAAAGCATGTAATGTAACTACACTTCTATTTAAGCTTCAGACCAAATTTAACTTAATTCGTGTAGTGTAAATTAGACTAACGTAAAATTTGGAAGTATATTTCATAGTTATGATTTATATGCATATTAGTTTGTTTGATCAGCGTCAATGCAACTCAAACAAGCACCATTTTCAATGCATTTATCACAATAGAAATTTCTCCATTTTAATATGGAAAATATTGTCATCATCATCAGTGGCACAGCAGCCCCATGGTGGCTCTCTGCCTACTGACAGATTTCGAGATCGGAGATGTTTCTTTTTTATAGGGTAGAATTGTTAGTCCTACGCCCAACATTCTACAGTCATA